GTATACATTGGAACCACAAAACGAAGCATCCACACCAGAATCAAAGAACATGAGAGGGGCCAAAACCGCCACCCCCTTGCCCTCCAGACCCTATCCGGCCTTTCTGCACCCCCGTGCAGGCCTGGTGCCGTTCCAGAGGCCTCCCGGCGGTGGAAGCCCGGGAGGCTTCGGAGACTTTGGACCGGTAAGGTGCTGCTTTTTAAAAAAGTTTTTGTTTTGTTGGATTGTGGGTCGGTGTTGTTTTGGTTTTGATTGTGGTGATTTTTTTGTTTTTTTCAGCCCCAGGGGAATGCAGTGTTATATTTTTATTTATTTATTTATTTATTTTTCCTTCGGCTGGAATGCATTAATCGGTTTTCAGTGCATTCCTATGGGAAATGGTGCTTTGACCTACAAACGTTTTGACTTACGGCCACCATTCCAATACGGATTAAGTTTGTAAGTCAAAGCACCACTGTAACTATCGACCAATATCTCATATCCCATTCTTGAGGAAGTTACTGGAGCGAGCTGTGGTCTCTCAGCTCCAGAGGTTCCTAAATTGAAACAAAGTATCTTGATCGATTTCAATCTGGGTTCAGACCTTGTTATGGGACAGATATGGCTTTGGTTGCCTTGGTAGATGACTTATGATGGGAACTGGATAGGTGGTCTGTGTTCCTGTTGGTTTTGCTGGACCTTTCAGAGGCTTTCAATACTATCAACCATAGTATCCTCCTGACCTGTATCTCTGGAATGGGATTTAGGGGCACTGTTTTTTGGAGGCTCCAGTCCTTCCTGGATGAGAGAACTCAGAAGGTGGTGCTGGGGGACTCCTGTTCGACACCCTGGCTGTTGGCTTGTGGGGTCCTTCAGGGTTCTCTTTTGTTTCCTATGTCATTTAACATCTGAATGAAACCACTGGGAAAGATTATCTAGATTTGGGGAGGGGGTTATATATCACTAGATGACACCCACCTCAATCTCCTTGCCACCTAAATACAAAGAAGTTACTTTAGCTCTAGCTCAGTGTTTGGTATCTGTAACAGACTGGATGTGGTAAATAAAATGAAACTTAATCCAGACAAGGCAGAGGTGCTCCTGGTCAGTAGAAAGGCAGGTCAAAGAATAGGGATACAGCTGGTACCAAATAGGATTACACTCCCATTGAAAAGACAGGTGTACAATTTGCAGGGTGCTCCTGGATTCATCCCGGAACCTGGATGCCTAGATCTTGACATTGGCCAGGAGTGCATTTGCACAATTAAAACCAGTGTGCCAGCTAAGTCCATCTCTTGAGATATCTGATCTAGCCACTGTCATACACAACCTAGTTACTTCCCAACTGGATTACTGTAACATGGTCTATGGGGAGTATCAGGAAATGGAGAGTATCAGGAAATGTCAGTAGGTCCAAAATGCAGGTTCAAAATGAAGCAGCTGGATTGCTGACTGGGTTTGGTTACAGGAACCACATGGATCCCCTGTTGCAGCTGCTCCACTGGCTGCCAATCTATTACTAGGCACAATTCAAAGTGCTGGTTTTAACCTACAAAGTCCTAAATGGCCCAGGTCCAAACTATCTCAAAGACCATATCTCCCATTATGAACCAGCTCAGATGTTAAGATCATCAGGGCAGGCCATTCTCTTGGTCCCACCACCTTCACAAGTGTGTCTGATGGGGACACAGGAGAGGGCTTTTTCTGTTATTGCTCCCAAACTTTGGAACTCCTTCCCAAAGGAGTCCAGACTGGCCCCATCTTTGCTGTCCTTCCACAAGCAGGTAAAGACCTTTCTCTTTAGGCAAGCCTTCCTTCAGTAACTAGCTACCTGTGTGTGATTTTTAGATTAATTGTTGCACATTACTGCTCTGACTGTTTTAGTACTACTTGTATTTTCCATTTTTGTGTTTTCCATTTCTCAGTGACCTTTTAAAATATTCGTATACTTATTTTCCTTAGCTTTAAAATTGCCTTTTATGATGTAAGATGCCTATTTATACTCATTGTTCTTAGTTTTAAATATTATCTTTTAATAATGTTAACCACCATTTTATACTCCTCATTTTCAACTTTAAATATTGTTTTTCAATGCTGTAAACTGCCTTGGGTCCTTTTCAAGGAGGAAGGCAGTGTAACAATATTTTAAACAAACAAACACTTTTTAGGGTTTTCCAGGTACAGAAACCTTAGAAGTGATTCGCCATTTCCTTTTTCTTGGGGCACTTAGACAACAAGGCAGCAATCCATGAAGGAGACTTAAGACTGTGCAGCTTGCCAAAGGTCATACAAACTGATTCTATTCACAAGAGGCACAGTGGGGAATGAAACTGCAAAAGAACTTGCTCTGCAGCCAGGTACTCAAATTGCTGCGCTATCCAGCAAGTACAATTCAGTATTATAGACCAGACAAATAAACTCACTCAAGATCAAAAAGAGTAACTGTTGTTTTCCCATTCATCTACCTGGCATTCCACAAAGAGGTCCATTGTCTTGGCTATCCAGGCTATTTGAAAAGGGTTATCCTAGACACAAACCATACCTTTTTGTATTCCCTTCTCCTTTAGTGCCATTTTGCTGTCCCCCTTCATTCTTCCCCTCCATGTATAACTTCTAATAAATATTATAGGAATCAGGTTATTTGCCCCCACAATACACTTTCACAGGCAAAACAAACAAACAAAACCTAGAACACCCATAAAATACTTCAACCCACCATCACTCTGTTTCCGATCATGTACAAACTGATGATTTTCCAGGTAAGTCTAGGCTGCCCATGACTAAACACATTCCATCACCACACTGTTTCAGGCCAGATAATGAAGGGGATTCAGTATATGTTAGATAGGCTGTCCTCAAATTGGTGGGACACAGATTATACCACTACTAAAGACTTTACAGTCTTCCTACAAAGACTTGAGGTTAATCAAAAAAGTGGTGCTGGTGGGGAGACAGCCTGTCAAACAGTATTCTCTCTTTCATTAGAACAAAAAAGTACCTCTGCACTCTGGTAAGTTTATCCATTCTCTCTTCAAACACATTGCTGCATAAGGTCCAAAAAGACTGTAGGATGGGAGGCATCGATACTTCACTTTCTCCAAAGGCAAATACCTTGGTTTTGGGACTCCATTAAGCTGACCATTTTGAATAGCAGGTGGAGGAGGACACCTCATATCTGAAAGGGTAAACAAAACAGTCTGTGAAAGATGATTTGAAAATACATTTGGTTTCCCAAATCAATGTTTGTATATTTAGTAGGCTTACCTGTAGAGAATATATATATATTGGCCTCAAAAACCTGCTGTATAGATTAGGACAGAAATGTCCCATCTTAAAAATTTGGATTACCATCATGGTTCATGTTTACATTTCATTTTATTCTTTAAAGCTCTGAATATTTTTCCGTATTTACTATATTAGAAATATCAGCAAAAACCCATATCCCCCACTTTTTTTTTCTTTTCAGCAGTGTTGGATAACATTTCCCACTGTATTTACCCCTTATGAAGTCATGAAACTTCTCCAAATTCAGATAGATAGATTGATTTGGGGTTTGGAGAGTTATGATTCAAAGATAGCATTTGAATTGAGAAACAATCAAATCAGAATGGAATAGAACAGAATAAAACAGAAAGCTATTCTCTGCTTGGTGTGTATCAGACCCAGATGGTCAAAGCTGATTTAGATGAACATAGACGTAGGCATGGGACAGAGGCCTGCAAGTGTTGCAGTAAATATATAGTATTTCTTTACCATGTAGAATAGGGGTATTGCTTTGTTGTATGCCTCCTTGTAGACTGGTTTGCATCTTTTTATGATAATGTCCATCCTGACCAATATGAGGTAATGTGAAAGCACATCTCCACCAATATATAGTAAAATGAAATATTCTGAATCTGTATTAAGATTAGATTAATTGCTTCAACTCACAGGTTGCGTCTTTTCCCCTGGAGACCACTGGCCCTAAATGTGGCTCTACAATCTGTTAGGACAGCATCGATTGTAACTACTATGCTGGGAGGATCCCAGAGCACTTTGAATTGGTTGGAATAATTGGACAATGAGGTCTACCAAGAAAGGTAATAGAGACCTTCACATCGGACTTGCAGAAGGAAATATTTTTGAGGTAGAAGAAACCGTGGTAAAAGGTAGGAGTGCAGATATGCCCTGGGTACTATCTGTGGGCAGGAGATTATTGGACTTAAGATATGAGCTATAAACATGAGTTTCTGAATCTTTTCATCCCAAAGGTCCAATGCCAAAAGTTCCAACAGAAGTTTGATAAGAAGTTCAGTAAGAGTTTCTTTTCCTGCAGAAAGTGGGGTTTCATTGCAGTGAGACCAGTCGGGTTTTGGGAATGCTCCTGAAACTGGCCAGGGCCCTTTAGTTTCAAGGCCCCCAATGGGCAAAAGGACAGTCCACTAGGAAAAGTGGTGTCTGAAGCATTAGAGGCAACAGAAAGGGGAGAGAAATTGGTGAAAATTGCTTTTTTTCCCCTGAAGTCTCATCTGAGTGCATGGACTGAGGAGGAAGCCATGTTGGGCAAAGAGCTGGGAATACGCCTTGCAGAGAGCAGAGGAGTAAAGAAGGATTTTGGAAAATATTCTGACCAGGACTCTAAGTCAAGATATTTGTTTTACATAAAGAAACTTTATGGACCTAAAGCAATGAAAGAGAATAAAGTTGGGCATAATGAGTCAGTGAATGTGGATTAGATTCTATAATTCTTTGAGTAGCAGTAGAAGCGAGCCTCCCTCCCATCCCTCAGCTTCCATCAAGAGATGGAGAAGAAAGAGAAGGAGAAAGAGGGAGGAGGGGAGAAAGTTGTTTTGTGAATGAGCTGTTTTAATCAAAGGCAAA